GGACTGGGATAGCCTGGGGCAGTGGGTGCCACGGACTGGGGCGGACTGTGGCATGTGGGACGGATGGGGGCACGGGGACGCGCCCTGTCCCATCGTCCGGCTCGCCTCTCCCTTGCAGGATCCCCTCCAGGGAGCCAAGGGCCAGGACCCCGCCACGGGGCAGGGCGGCCGCTGTGACAGCCCCAAGCAGCCGGCAGGGCAGGAGAGCCCGACACCCCCGGTGCCCTCCGCTGCCAAGGTAACGCCAAGCCCCGCAGACCCAATGAGCCCCGGGCTGTTCCCAGGCCCGTGGTGCCCGTGGGCTGCACCCCACCTGGGTGGGACATGTAGGGGTCTGGCCTTTGAGGCTTGGAATCATGCAGGGAGACAAAGCGTGTTGGCAAAGCCCACGATCTGATTGATTTTGTAACAGTATGAGGTTTAGCGTCACACCTTGCCAGAGGTGATTGGTCAGGGCCTGCACTGGATATGTCCCTTGGGGTCAGGAGCAGAAGGAGATACAGGGCAACACTGGAATACCTTCCAGGCCAGGAGAGAACTGCACAACTGAGATTGGACAGGGACCTGAGGGGTCCCCATGCAGGCCCAGCAGCTCTTGGAGCTGGAGTGTCATGGTGGCAAGATGAGCTGCCCTTGCTCTGTCCCAGGCCCATGAGTTGAGGGTGGCAGGAGCTCTTCTCCCAGCTAATGCCTTTCCTTCTTCAACCAACAGTCAAAATCATCCAGTGATAGCAAGAACCGTCACAAAAAGCCCAAGGACACCAAGCCCAAGGTGAAGAAGCTGAAGTATCACCAGTACATTCCTCCAGACCAGAAGGCAGAGAAGTCTCCTCCACCCATGGATTCTGCATATGCCAGACTTCTCCAGCAGCAGCAGCTCTTTCTGCAGCTCCAGATCCTCAGCCAGCAGCAGCAGCAGCAGCAGCAACAGCAGCACTTCAGCTACCCAGGGATGCACCAAGTCCAGCTAAAGTGAGTGGCAATAGCAGAGTTTAGTCCCACCCCTCTCCAGGCTTTCCCGTGCTGTACCCACTTGTTCCAGCACAAGGGGAGTAGTACATGCAAGTGGAACATGCAAGCTTGGCAACAGCGGTCCCCTGCAAAGCCATTCTGGCTTTGTGCACTGGCTGAGGCACCTGTGACCTGCTGGTGGGTCACCAGTAATCACATTACAGCCCAGCCTGGTTTTCCTAGAGGTTGGCAGTCCTTCAGGTCTCATACAGGAGATAGCAGCCCCAAGGGAGCAAAGAGATATACGCTGGGCACAGAGACCACAGGGGACAGGCGAGTTACCCCAAATCTCCTTTGTTATTTCAGGCAATCAAATGAGCAAGTGGTCAAAAGTTCAAATTCTTCATCAACTTCTCTCAACAACACTCCTCTTTCTCCTGTGAAAACCACCTTTTCAGGCCAGACTTGTGTCTCATCTATCAAGCCAGGCCCTCTGCCATCTAACCTGGATGATCTGAAAGTGAGTGCCGATTTTGTCACTGCAGGGGCAGGATCTTATAGCCTGCATGTGCTTTGCTACCCCTGCAGCGTGCCGTGTCATGCCACAGGCTGAGCTGGCCCTGCAGAGCCACCGGGCTGGGAGCAAGCCCAGGAGTGCCTGGCACTGGGGCAGGAGCTGGTTGCCGTGGCGGTGACTGGACACAGGGGTTTGCTGCTCTGCGGGTGACGCGTGGGTGCGCTGCTCAGAGCACCTATCTGCAAGCCTTAGGTATAACGTGAGGTGGCTGCAGGCTAGGCCATCAGGTCAAGGACTAAAGGACGATCTGTGCTGCTGCTCCTGCTGCTCATGGCTCCATACCTTCTGTGGGTTTGTGGTGGACATCTTGGATGTTGCTAGCAGACCAACCAGAAGCTGGGAGGTCAGCATGGCCTCCGCTCAGTGACTCAGCTTCTCAGAGCTCATTGCAGGCAGGACAGCTCAGCTCTCTGCACAAGCAGGTATCTCCTGGAGTCTGCAGCTGTGAGCACTGCTTTGAACAGTTACCTAAATGTCTCATGTAGGCAAGACAGGTGGGGCATGAGGGAGAGTCACTCACAGCAACAGTTCTTGTATACTTTGCTAATGGAGCTTCATCCATGGGGAAGGCCAAATCCTTTTGGGAGCAGGGACCTGGGGCCAGTACTCATTATTAGACAAAGAAATAAGCTGAGGTAGAAATAACGTAACTTTGGCCATAGCAACACCCTGATGCAGATGCTTCAACCATGTGCAGGTTCCTGAACATGAAGTATCTGGCTCCAGGGCATGTGGTCACATTCACTGAGATAAAGGATGCCATTAGCTGGTTCCTGGTCTGTGTGAAAGTCCTCTGCTCATGTAGAAACCCACTGCTAGGAAGGGAGTCTTGGGTTACTTCTGTGGTCCAAGGACCAATGCTCATTCATGGAGATCAGTGACAGTTCCTGGAGGAAGAAGGAAGGTGTTCCTGTTAGGAAAGGTCAAGATCCTGCAGGACATGCAGTGGTCAGTGCTGTGCCTGGGGACTCTGGTGACTGTAGGTGAGACAGTGAGCACCTGCAGGGGTCAGAGCTTCAAAGCAGGAATCTGGGAGCCTGTGAGCTGAGACTCATTGTTAAAAATGTTGGGTTTCTAAAGTGCTCATAGGCCATTGGGACTGATTGTTGGTGACTTGCCTTCTAGGTGTCAGAGCTGAGACAGCAGCTCCGCATACGAGGCCTGCCCGTGTCGGGCACCAAGACCGCGCTGATGGAGCGGCTGCGGCCCTTCCAGGAGTGCGGCTCCAGCGCGGTGCCCAGCTTCAGCGAGATCACCACCGTCACCTTCCCTGTCACGCCGACAGGCACCCTCTCCAGCTACCAGTCGCAGTCCTCCACCAGCATGTTATCAAATGGCTTCTACCACTTTGGCAGCACCAGCTCCACCCCACCCATCTCTCCAGCCTCCTCCGACCTCTCTGTGAGCGGCTCTTTGCCAGACACATTCAACGACGGGCCCATGTCTTCTCCACAGTTTGGTCTCCAGCCATCTCCGGTTCACGGCAGTGCTGAAGAAAGCCTCATGAGCAGCATGAATGGAGGGAGCATTCAGCTGGAGCTGGAAGGGATTGACACAGAGAAAGACAAGATGCTGGTGGAGAAGCAGAAGGTCATCAATGAACTGACATGGAAGCTGCAGCAAGAGCAGAGGCAGGTGGAAGAGCTACGCATGCAGCTGCAGAAGCGGAAGAGAAGCAATGGCCTCGAGGAGAAGCAGCAGCCCACTCAGCATTTCTTTGGTGTCCCTATCAAGCAAGAAAACGCAGTGTCCAGCTGTCCATTTGCCTCCAAACAAACTGCCTTGAAGGGCTCAGCCAGCAGCACGGATAAGTTAAGTAACTGTGGGGTGCCGCAGCTGCCTCACGTGGTGAACAG